CCCGCCCCGCTCCGCCCCGCCCTGCTTATATAATCTGATCAATGCAATCTCCTTGCAAATTTGAGGCCACCGACGACAGCGGCGACGAGGGGGAGCTGCCTGGTGTTGTTCTGCGGCCGTTCCTATTTCGCGCGCGACAGGCGAGAGAAACAACGCGCGATGGGAAGGTCGGCAACCGAAAAGAGAAGGATCGGACAAAAAAAATACATGTGTTTTCTGACATTACGTGTGTGTATACGGTAGAATATGACAACGCGAAAAGGGGAAAATCACGTTATGTTTTCACATGTGGATGTGCGGGGTTGTCGCTTGGATGAGTCTGTTATTCTTTAAATTCGAATTCGGCGCGTTGATAACGATACACTGTGTGGACTAATGGGAGGATGCCCGCCGTGCCACGCCCGCGCGCCTGCCTGCGCCCCTGCGGCGGCGGCGGCGGCGCTCACCTCGAGACGCACTCAAAAGCCGTCTCACTATAAACTTTAAATGGTCCATGAAAATGAAGCTGCATCCCATCCCGCCTGGGCCCTCCTCCACTCCGCCCGGTGAGGCTTCCAGGCAGCTCGCGGCGGGGGAGACGCGCGGGGGCGGAAGAAGGGGCTAGAGGTCGCCGACAGGGGGTGGAGGTTCGCGGTGGCGCTCAACATAGAGAGGGGAGGGGCGGCGGCAGGGGAGAAGGGATCAGAAGCAAAGCAGGTCAGGGATGAGGTTTCGGAAGTTAATTTCTAAGCGCGCGCAGGTCGCGTTCACCCCCTACCCCCACCCCCTGGCCTTTGTTGGCGTGTCTTGCGGACTAGACGAGCAGGCGGGCGCTCATCCGCCAGCCCCCTATTAGGTGGAACAATAGGGCCGAATTATCCGCAGCAATCGCGACGTACCTTTCTTCCTTTTTTATTTAAAAAATTAACGAACAACAAAATCACAGAGTTCCGACGACGCGGGGGATTAGAGGAGACGTGCAGCCGCGCGAGCCGCGTCAGAGCAAAAATACCTCCCTCGGCGTGGGGGCCTGACGTAGGGGCGGGCCAGTCAGAGCAGTCAGAGCGGGGAGCCGACGCCGCCAACGAGCAGCGAAAACGAACAAGAAAGAAACAATTCTGAGGTTGGTTCTAGTAGTATTACTTTGCAATATTGCCCGCTCTCGCGCGCGGGGGGAGCGCGGGTGAAGGGGTCCGGGGCGGGCGTGCCGTGAGCCGGTTAGGTCCTCTGCCAGGCGATTGCTCCTGACAGTGAGTGATGGCGGTGAGGCGAGGGGTAGGCGCGCAACGTATTTAGCGGGGGGTAGCTCCACCGGGCTGGGTATCGGCCGGCCGCGACCGCCCCTCCCGCTGCCCTGTCCGCGCCTCGCAAGCAGCAAGCGCCTGCCTCGCTCACCACCACCGCGGCACCGCGGCTCGCCGCCCGCGCGCTCCGCCCCAACCCGACTTTGGTTTTCGTTATTATTGAAATGGCATCGCTCCAGCCTCTAATGGCGCGAATGGGCCGCCCCGCGCAGCCCCCCTTCCCCCCGACTTACCCCCCGCACCTTCCAGCAGCGCTCGCTTCTTTTTTGGGCGCTAAACTCGGAGCTAAACTTTACCCCCCTCTTCGCCACCCGCTACGCCACGCCCAGCGCAGGCGGAGGCCTACCTCGCCAAGGAGGCGTCGCGGAGGACGCCAAGAGATGATCGTTCAAACTAAACAGCCGAAGGCGGCGGCTGCTGGCCGACACGGCTGACGCTGACGAGAGCACACCACCCCGCACACCGTCGTCAGGCGGGCCGGGGTGGTTGGTAGCCCGGGCAGGCGAGGGGCGAGCAGGGGAGGGGAGGAGACGCTGCTGGTGGTGCTTCAGGCCGCCACTGCTGTTGGGCGAAATGGTTCGGAATGGACACGGCCTACATACCATGTAGCACACACACGGAACTCGACTGGAGCGGTGTAATACGGCCCGCGCAACCGCCTTTAAACAACATCAACATCCTCCACCTCCACCACCTCTTCCTCCCCTTAACGCCTGCCCCAGGCCGACTCTGCCGCTTCGCTAGAGCCGAGCCGGTCAAGCAAAGCCCTCCACTTGACCTACCTCAAAAATAACTTCCCGAGCGCAACGCACTCAATTTACTTTGCCTGCTCACATCGGTTTAGTGCGCGCTCACGGCCACGGCTATGTTGGGGACACTGAGGGAACCCCGAGAGGAGAGGAGGGGGGCGGTATTGGAACTTTACTCGCCTCCTCTTCGGCTCCATTTCCGTTCCACTAGGAATTAATGTATGGAAAGGAAGGCCGAGGGCCCGTCCCGCCGCGGGCAAAAGAGGGGGTGAGGGGGGCAGGTCCCCCTCGAGGGTAAGAAGGCCCTGCTGCCGGAGTCCCCCCGGCGGAGCACGGCGCCCCGGGGTGGGGCAGGGCGGGGGCGGCCGGGCATCGCCTCTGCGCCCCGGCGGGGAATCTGGCGAGGGCTGGTGGGGCCTGAATTACACTGGCAGGGTCGCCGCAGCCCCCAGAGATTTAGGTAAGTGCAGCTCCACTGGACAAGGGATCACCGGAAGAAAAGGGGTAGGCAGAGGGGGGGGGGGCAGAGGGGAGCGGGGCAGAAAGAAAGAGGGGGGGAGGAGGGGGCAGGTGTGGGGGGCTGAGAGGTCAGGGCTAGGGGGCGACGCCCGTCCATAACCCCGAGGCTCAATATTTTTGTGGGAGAAAGAAGCCAGTCTCCACACATTTCTAAAAAAAGATTCAATGAATCACCCTCACCCACAAAAGCAGTGGTTACGTATTGTTGATAGTAATTTGGAATGAATTGCAATGAGAGAGTGGAGTTGTATCAGTTACTTTTATCTTATACGATGATGCACATAAAACTGGTTTTCTAAGTGCACCATAGGAAAATACAAGTGCAACTAACACAATTAATATCAAGGTTGAAAGGGCATGAAGTTGCTATATGTTCAGTAGCGAGCGGAGAACAAACCAGAAAAGCTGCCCTCACTAACCCACAGAATAAAAAATAAAGTACGCTTATAAAGTAGCTTGCACTAACAGTAAACATGCAATTCGATACAAAACTGTTGGATGTACTGAGGACCATGAGATCAGAGCGCATCGACCATTATACAAACTGTGTGCAATATGACCAATTTGGGGCTAAATATAAACTAGACTATTATTGTAATATCTCATAGGTGACTATAAACTTTAGTACAGAATTTAAAGCAAAACTAATAAGAAAAAGTACTAACAAAACCAAGCACAAGCAAGAAAGTAAAATTTGTTTTAAACAGGTTATAAAAACGAGGGCAAAAAGGGTGGCCGAGAGAATTTCAGGTGAAATTTTTATCTCATGGATAGCAAAAGCACTTGGACACATCGAATACAGAATCATACTCATGACCTTCCGACACTAACCTCCTCCGAGCGTGCTGAGTCCAAAATATGGCGATGTCATCATTACTACTTTCTCCACAACAGCAAATTATTTGAAAAGTGACGCGGAACACTCGTCAGATAACGCAACGTTCGAAATAAACTAGTTTTAACATAACAATTACACCCGAGCGCAATTTTAATCCTTTTTCATTCGAGAAAAAGTCAACGCGGGAACGGCGAGCAACAAACTAACCGGACACGAAAAAACGAACTGGCAAGCACGGTCGATGGTATGAGAAATTCACATGGCGCTGTCCCCAGTCCAACTTTTAACTCGGAACTCGCGCAGGTGGCAGCCCAAAATCATTAATTTTACGATTTTGATGAATGTGTGTCGAGATGTTAAGTATTGGTGAGAGGATAAATCACTCATAGAAAGATACATGAAGGGGGAATACAATTGGCATTCCCCATGAGGCTGTGTACCCAGCAGTTTTTCATGAAAGGGAATGACCAAAATGCTCGGGTTGGTGGAGCAGAGTTGACCAACGTACCTAGAGTTCAGATATAGGTACAAATTGCAGTTCGTTTTAAGACTTTAAATGTTATCGCAAATGTGTGCGACTACGCCGAGAGAACGATGCGACATCCTCGCATGAGACACGCGTGAGCTTGAGGCGGGGGTGGTGCGAGTGTATTCAGTTTGAGCACGAGCCCCTCCCGGGCCCCGGCCCGTGTTGTGTTTGCACAGCAGTGTGGACTTACTGGCGACGCGCTCGCGGGCGCGACAGGCCAGAACGACGGCACAGACGCAGCGACCCGCGGCCGCCAGCGCCAGTCGCCCGGCTCGAGCCGTACTCCCGCCATCATGCGCAGGTCGACGCTGACGACGGCCCTCCTGGCCCTCCTGATTGCGGTGAGCTGCTAAAAAAGGTGCTGCCCTGACGTGGTGTTACGCCGTGCGGCGGAGAGCTGAAAGTGACCCAACCGCACGACTCCTCGACAGGAGCTGGCCTCCGCCACGGCCGTGTACCACGACGCGGCCGACTACCAGGACCCGCTGGCGCAGGCCGTCATGGAGTGCAGCGACATGATCAGCCCCGTCATCGCCGAGCGCTCCAGCGCCCTCTACGCGCACCTGGTCAGGTGAGCACAGGACATCCACGAGAGTGTTGTGCTCTGCTGTGCAATGGGAGTGTGCTCGACCACTTTTGCTCGTCGGCTCCGCAGGGCGTGCTGCGAGGACACCGCCGTGCTCCTGGAGGAGGGCCGGTCCGTGGAGGCCGCCTCGTCCACGGCCATCAAGTGCTTCTCCAGGACGCTGCTGCCGCGCGCCGCGCAGCCCGACGCCGACCGGCTGATCAACTGTATCCGCCGCGTGCTCAGCTAGAGAGCGAGCTGCAGCCGCGGCAAGCCGCGGCCGCCGAGCTTCCATCAGCGAGTTTCCTCTCTGTTTTCCCTTCCGCTCCCGCCAGTACTGCGCTGCGCGCCCGCCCTGCGCGCGTTCTCAAACAAAGCAGCGGTTCGCCCAGCGCTCGCCCAAACTGCATTAAATATACATTCCGACCGCCATTTTTTTTACGGCACAATAACTCGCCGATACCTTTGCCGCGGAGCCCACCGGCCCCGCCAGGGCCCCGGCCTTGGCGCCGGTCCTGGTCCTGGGCGACGCGAGGCCCGACCGCGCGGCTGCGGAGCAGAGCTGCACCTGACCCCCTTCAACCTGCTGCTTTTGTTAAAGGAGCCGGCCCCGCACAAAACGACCTTAAAATCGCTCCGAGATTGCTCGCCCCGTCGTCCCCAACCGCGCCGTCCGCGCCGCGCCCTTTCCTTTCAGGCTTTTTATCTGCCCTCTTCTTTCCTCTACCCCCCCCCTCCCCTTCTAATCCCGTTTCACTTTCCAGCTCCGTCCGGGGCAGGTCCGGAGGGCCCCGGCGACGGCAGCGCCCCGGCGGCTGCTGCTGGACCGTCGCCAAACACGTCGCGGTGGTATGACCTTGCGGTGTTGTGCCCCCGGGGCATTACCGTACCCCTGTGCGTGCGCGCGCGCGCGCCTGTGTGCCCCGTATGTGTGTGCGTGTGTGCAGGAGGGGCACACATGTAAGGGCTGGTGACCGCAGTGCCCGCTCCTCCCAAGGCGTGGCGTGGCGTGGCGCAGGGTGGCGGCGGTCCGCGCGCGCTGGCAACGCGTTCAGCTCGACTTTTAATTTCCGCTCGCGGCCCTTTGGGGTCGGGCTGCGTGTGACAGCCGGGGCCGGCGCGGAGCCCAGCGCGCCGCCCGGCGCCACCACCGCCGCGGAGCTGGGCACGGCCCCTTGCCCCGCCCCGCGCGCCCTGCTTCGTCCTCCGCTGGGGGTGGCGGGGGTCATCAGGGAGGACCCCGCTGTCCTGCCACGGTGCTGGCGTAGGTTTGTGTCCGGCGAGGTCGTGTGGGGCATGGGGTGCGAGTAGTAGACATGTCCGCGAAAAGGCGGACCCTTATCGCCTCGGGACCTCATAGAGTCCGTTTGTTGTTCTGTAGTGTTGGGGTTTATCATCGGGTCCATCGGAGACCTTGGAGCGCGGGGACTCGGGGGCGGCCTCGGCACTGAGGGCACCCGGGACACACCGCCCTTGGCAGTGACCCGACCTGTCTCGTGGCACTCCGACCTTCCAACATCCAGGACGAGGAGGACGCCGACGCGACGGCAGGCGGAGGCGACTGCTGTTCTGAACAGATTCATTTCGCTCTCCACTGGCCGGGCGGGCCGGGCCGGGCCCTCTCCTGCCCTGAGCTATGCCCCCCTGTAAGGAATCTCAGCGTGGCGCTGCTGCTGCGGGGGGGCGTGGGGGCGGGG